CACCAGTACAGTATGCAGGGACCAACCGAAAATGGCGAGAAGGAGGCAGGGCAAAGGGGATCTGCTGAATTTGACAGCCTTATCTCTCGTCCCCTCCAGGTAGTATCCTATGGCTTGGAAATACGGCTCGGCTGATGCATTCCCGGTTTCGTTCTTGTATTCGGCGATCACATAACGATGTCCTTGGGATTGCATGTCTGCATCCGTAATATATGCAGTAGTTTTCGTTTTGGTGATGGTGAAGTGGAAGCGGTACTTTTGAAATACCTTGTCAACAGCTTCAAGCCGTCCATTCTCGTTTTCATACAAGGCCGACATGGCTATCGCGAGGTGCTCGACGAAACTGTTGTCGTCAGCTGTTACATCAATAGTCTGACAGTCATCAAGAAACTGGCCAAAGACAGGATGTAAGAGGGTTACGGGGATAGTTTCCTCATATTCGCGAGGACGACCACAGGGTATAGATTTAAGGTGTTGTGAATTATTCTGTCGTCTCCGAAATTCAGACGGGGTGCCAGTGGCTGAAGGCTTCTCCTTTGGAGTGGATATTAGGAATTTATTGCGTGCAGTCGCGATCGGATCGCCATTTCCTACGTGACGATATGCCGATGGAGGATGTCCCGTTATCTCTGTGAGCTTGGGTGAGTACGAGCCAATACCGTCATGCTTTTTGCTTACTTTCATCGAGTAGCTCGACGACAACACGTGGCATCTGAAGAAAAGGGACGTCATCGAAGACCTCCTTCAGAATCACAGTCCCTTGCAGCATTTGACCCGATCCTGTAGCACCAAGAATCTCGTGGAGCTCGTCATCGTTGTTTGCTGTAACCTTGTAAACTCTGAAGCCAGGAAAGGGTATAATACCACTGTATGCCGCCTTGATCGAAGCGTTGAGATCGCCAATATCGGCCTCCGCTGGTATTGTGACTTTAATGAAACCCGCAAGATCTGCCCCTCGAATCCAACATTCAACGGAAAGCACGTCTGGTAATGTGAAGAGAATGATCATCATCGTTGAGGTTGAGTTGGAATTGCAAGTGCCACATACCAATGATAAGGTGAAGTTGGTTTCTGGCAGGCGGTTGCGTAAAAACATCTGACAACTGCTGCCCCGCCTCCAGAGGATTTTCCAGACTGGGACTGGTGAGATTGCTGAGCACACCTTCAAGTGAATCACCTCCTTCATATGGAAAGGAAACTTTGTAGAGTTCGAGATTGGTCGCCTCCACATCGCGGAACGTGACAAACCTCTCATTCTTGATGACTGTTTTGAGGTCGTAGACAGTCTCTGAACTTGAGACCTTGACATAAAAGACGACACTGGATCTGTCACCGCGCACCCAGCAGCAAAGAGTCAAGTTTGGGACTTCAATTTTGCGTGAAACTGAGTCATAAAGTTTGCCGTCAGAAGGGTAATAGGATACAGTGATAAATGCGTACAAGAACTGGGTGCACGGACGATGATGAACCACACCCCTTCCTTAGACTTGGGGAAAAGGGTTGATAATTTGGATCGTGTGGTGAGCTTCATTTCCTTTGAATGATCCCACCGATTAAGTTTGCCTTCCAGTTGCTCATCGTCAGGAAGGCAAATGGAGTAGAGTTCGAGATACTTTGCTTGGACCTGTAAGGAGTTCTCGTCCTTGATGACTTTTTTGAGGTCGTAGACAGTCTCTGAACTTGAGATGTTGACAGGAAGAATATTTTCAACATCTTCACCGTAGACCCAACAGTTGAGCTTTTCCATGTTGTGGCACTTGGCTGGACTGAATGAAAAGATGAAAGACGGTGCGCGTGTGTGTGGCAACTCCGCCATACCTTGGTGGGCAACTCCGCCATAGCCAGGGAAGTCACCGAATCGGTCGACCAATCTTTGGTCGACCGATTGACCGATTGTCGACCGATTATTCACGTGACCTGACTGTTTCATTTTACCCCAGGTTGCATCTTTTTTTTTTCACCAAGTTCGTTTCTAACCCTATTTTCGGGGTTCGCATAGGTAGTGGTACTCTTTCGAAAGTCTATACAGCGACAGCAAAGGCATAAAATATTTATATTAGAGATCTGTGCCCATTCATGTGTATTGCACAAGTATTATGAGTAGTGTGAATGCAGAAAAAAGTACGGAAATGCAGAAAAAAGTAAGGAAAAGAGCGAAAATCATGAAAAAAACTTCAAGAAACCACTACTGCTTGCTCCATGTCGGAAAGACAGTCAACCCTCAAATACTTTTTTCCTTCGTGCTCCTTGACCAAATCCGGCATGGGGGGACTCAACGTGAGGGATTCATAAAGCCGAAACAAGACTGGGCTGTTTGGAATTGGAGGGGTCATTCGTTTGACTAGCATAGCCGCAAATGCCTGATATTCCATCTCAAGGTCAGCACCATTTCCACCCTCAATTATGACCTTCTCATATATTTCACGAATAGTCGAGAGGAAAACCCGAGGATGAAAGTGAGTGCCATTCACAAAAATGCCTTGAGGCTGTGGCCAGGGTGGAAGCTCGTCTGGGAAATCCTTTCTGACAGGAACACCATCAGAACAGAATAGTTTCTTGTGGTTTCCTGAAAAGCCTGTCAATCCTGGGTACTTGATAGTGCGGCAACAGCTACATATTTGAGTCTTACGCTAGTAGCATAGTTAGATCAGTCATATATTGTTTCATGTATGTTTATCACTTACTGATTTCAGGTCTGTGTTTTCTCCTTTAACGAGCTGGACAATGAAACAATGGGTTCTCCAAAACTTCTCATTGCCGCTTGATGCTGATGAAAGAGACAGACAATTCAGTAGTACAATATGAGAGAATCAAACAATTCTTACAAACAAAATTATTAGACTTGATCCTCTCGACAATCTTTGTCTCTATTTCCCCCAATTTGTCAAATAGTGCACGGGGATTTTTCATAACTGCTGGGCTACCACCAGACTTAGGAAGCTTCTCTAGTCTACTATTATAGTCTGCTGTAGCCAGAACCCATTTTCGAGATGTCATGCTGAACAATGCCCATTTATTTTGTAGGCGCATATCCATGAATAGGAAAAATTCGGCACTAGAGTTGAGGGTGAGTGAACGTGGGTCGATACCCGTCGAGATGGAAAATATGCGCTGAGAGCGTGAGAGACCATTCAAGTTGGGGTCAGCAAGTGGTGAGAAGGCCGCCATCAAGTTTTGGCTGGTGTGTTTGTCACTAGGGCACTTGGGGGCGACAGTCTTTGATCCAGGTGCAAAAAACATGCTGATAATATTGCTGGTGGATGGCTGGTTGGTCCGGATAAGTGGGTACCATGGGCATGCTCAGTGTTGATTTCATTATAGTCAGATATGTACTTACAGTGCCTTTTGCCTGTATACTTGAGGCATTTGTAGCCGGTGTACTTGGGGCGTTTGTTGCTGATGTACTTAGGGTGTTCGCTGTTGTCTCCTATGCAGTAGTGTACATTAGTATTTCCAAAAAGGATATTAAATCTACATACCTGAGCAGTGGGGATACGACTCTTCTTCTGTAGTGGGCCTTCCAATGCGCCAGCAATTGGTCCCAACTCTTCAGTTAGGTCATAAAATGGGACCTTCCGCTTGAGAGGCCCAGATTGGCTGGAATCGGCAAGCGCTGTTGGCTCAGTTATAGCCATCATTTCACCTGGTTGCGATGAGGCATACTGAAGTAGAGCACATGAGTGTTGTGTGTCAGCTGAAAAGGACAGAAGTTAGTTAGGTAGCAAGACAGTCATGGTGAAGAGGATACTTGCCTAAGGTGATTTGAGGCACTGTAAGCAAGTTGGGGTCGATATCCAGGCATTGCAGGATTGATGTGGGCTCAATCTCGGCATCTAAGACTAATTGATCCAGGCTGAGGTCTTGCTCGTCAAAATCAGCCTCAGTCTTAACTTCTATGAGGCCTCCAAATGTTGAGCTGTGGTTGGAGGGGCCGAGACCAAAGGATTCTTTGGTGTTGATGGATGAAAGGACAGGGCGTGCCTTCAGCTCTTGACTGTTGTTGCTGTGAGTTGGTTCTGTGGAAAGCAAGCTGTTCCATGAGTTGGCAATGTGGTTAGCTAAGCGGATGTGGTGTGTCCCATGGATGGAACTAAGGAATTTGCTCGGTTTCTGCGAGCGGAAGCGAATGCGTATGTTACGACGTATCACAAAATCAAAACCTAAGGCTAAGAACATCTCCAGGCCGCTGGCAAATGACCGCATGATGCCGTTCCAAGCCTTGTGCGACCCTTCAATGCGGCTTCCATCTGATCTTATATCTTGCCGAACTCGCATCAAACACCCTTTTTTGACGTGTGCGAGC